CAGTCTGTGGGTTTGGTTTGTGTGTGTTTGTCTGTGTGTTTACATGTAGGGTGTGTTCCCATGTACCCAAAGTGGAAAAGCATTTATATTTGAAGAGGGATGTGCTGTGGGGTTGAGTGGGAGGGCAGGTGTGTCTGTTTTACTGGACAGTGACTCTTTGTGTCACTGTCGGGGTCTTTGGCTATGTGTATACAGTGTTGGGGGTTTTAGTGGGTGTGTGGGGGGAGGGTATTTATGTGTATGGGGTAGGAAGTGTGTTGGGGAGACAGGAATGGGATATTTCTGTCAGTGTGTGTATTTTTTCTTTCACGTAGGATTTTAATTTTACCCTTGTTGAAAGAGCTCTTTGAAAGATTTTTAAAATTATATACAACTCTAACTTTTTAATTGAGGTATAAATGAATTTGAAGTGCCCAAATCTAAAGTGTACTGCTAGATGAATTTGTAGATATGTACACAACCCAGATCGAAATATGAAACAGAGACAGCGCCCTCAGCAGGAGCTCCGTCACGCCCCTCTCGGTCCGTGCCCCGCTCAGAGGCCACTGTGCTGACTTCCATCACCCCAAGTCAGGGTTGCCTGTTTTTGAGAATCTTGTCAATGGAATCACATGATGTTTCTATTTGGGTAAGTTAATAGCTGACATTAAACAAACTTTGCTTTGTGTGCTAACATTTTCCATATCTCACTGAATTTCTCATAATGGCCAAATAAAGTAGCACTATTTATCATTCCCAATTTACAGATGAGGAAACTGAGGCTTCAACAGGGCTCATGCCTTGTCCCGAGAGCCAGGTCGCCCATTTGACTCCGCACTTCTGGTCCTTGCCCACCAGACCGTCCGGCCTCCCTCTAGGTACCCTAACAAAGAAGTGACACTGTTTTGGGGTGCAGAGAGAGCGGGAGTCAGACGTGGGCACCCAGAGGTGCTTCTGGGTGTGCTTTATCTTCTGAGGAGCTGGTTTCTCTCAGTCTGTTCCCCTTGCTGGGTCAGGAACTATCACTGGAGACGCACGAAGCCACAGGGTTCACATCCTGGCCCCCAGACTTATTTGCTGTGTGACCACAAGCAAGTTGCTCCCCTCTTTGAACGACTATGTCCTCAACCTTTAAAAAGAAGATTAAAATCCTCGTGCATGGTCAAGGCAATAACAGATGGACGTTGTCACTGTATAAATGACTACTGCTGTTATTTTTTTTAAGATTTTTTTATGGTAAAATAAAACACAAATACAGAAATTCACATAAAATAAACCTACTAAGGTGAACCACTTGTAACCTCCAGTCAGATCAAGAAATAGAAGCCTCTCAAATGTCCCACCCCAATTGTAGCCAGACTTTTATAGTATTTCTTTGTTTCTTTATAGTTTTGTTGCCCAATTACACATCCCTAGACAGTAGAATTTAGTCTATACCATTGAAAAAATGTGTATTTTTTAAAAGCATCTACTGACTTCTCCATGCCTTTTGTTTTCTTGCAGTTCATCTTGTGGAAAAACCTGTAGCATTTGACCTGGAGAGTTTTGAAGAATCTGGATCACCACTGGCTTTTTTTTTCTCCCCACATGTGCTCTGTTTCCTTGAGCTCTCTCCCTCTTCCACTTGGATTTGGAGTCAATTAGACCTGGTTGCAGTCCTGAGTCTGCCAGTTGCTGTGTGACCTTGGACAAAGTCACTTAACCTCTCTGAACCTCTTTCCTCAACTGGCAAATGAGGATGTGACCTAGAAGATACCTAAAGGCCATTTAGCTTTCTCAGTCTCCTCTTCCAAGCACCAGGCTCCTGTCCCACAGTCTCTTCTCAGAAGCAACTGTTACAGGACAAGGATCGGAGAGACTGAGCATTGGAATCCAATTTCCACTGTGATTAGCTGTGTGAACTTGGGTGAGTTACTTTATTTCTATGAGTTTCCACTTTCTTGTTTGTAGAATGGGAACCCTGATACTTGACCCGTGAAACTGGAGCTTAAATGAGATCGTGCCGCTAAAGTATTTAGTGCCTGGTATCTAGTATGTGCTAAATAAATGTCGACTGTTATTGTTATTATTATTAGCTATTATTATAGGTAACATTGATTGACTGCTAACTCTGTGCCAGGCATTGTGTCAAATGTCTTCAGACGTACTAACTTATTTAATCTTTACAACAATGTCATGAGGCAGCCCATTTTACAAATGAGTAAACTAAGGCACAGAAAGTTTACAAAGCTAGTAAGCCATGAAGGTAGATCAAAGACTTAGGCTCTTGGTTAGCCACCGAGCTATTCTTCCTTGAATACTGCTGTTGTCTAGAACAGTGATTTTCGACAAGTGTGCCAGAAGAGTTTTTAACATAGGCAGTGCTTGACTATTTAGTTAGAGGTGCTGACCTCTTTTCTCTTTCTTAGATTGTAAAAAAAAAAAAGAAAAAAGGAAAGAAAAGAAAATGACAATAGCCAACACCACAATAACTGTCTGGTGTGAATGAATCAAAATTATACCTATTTTTAGTCCTGGCTGGATAGTTCAGTTGGTTAGAGCGTCATCCCAATATGTCAAGCATGTTTGATCCCCAGTCAGGGCACTTACCAGAATCAACCAATGAATGTATAAATAAGTGGAACAGCAAATTGATGTTTCTCTTCCTCTTTCTCTAAAAGCAATAAATAAAAATTTAGAAAATAAAACACAAAATTATACCTAGTTTTTGTGAGATTGGCAAAAAATATATTTTTTTTGGTGTGTCTCAGAATTTTAGTAATTATTTATATGTACCATGAGATAAGAAAGGTTGAAAATCGCTGGTCTAGAATAATTTCTCCTTGGTGCACCCAGGCTCAGAGAGAATAGCAGGAGGGGTCAAGATGGAGCAATAGCTGAATCCAGGGTGATTAAGATCCCAAGGGAGAGAACGTGTGTTTACCCCAAAGTGAGACCCCTGCCAGGGTGTTCATCTGGGTTGCCCAGCCCGGACTGGGAGAAGCTGCCCCAGAAAGAAGGTGTGTGCTTTGGCAGCAGGTGCTGCCTGGGCCATGGAGGCTGAGGCTGGGTGGCTGCCTAGGTTGAAAGTTCCATGTGTCTGCGGAGGACCCTGCTTGGGCAGCCCAGTCCCAGCTTCCAGCCCTGCATCACCACCTGGCTCTGCCTGGGGATTCTCAGAGGTCACTGGAGGGGAAGGCTGAAAGCTTACAAATGCTGCAACTTTGTTTTTTTATATAACATCTTTCTTGTAAGTCTACCCCACCTCATAAGAAAAGTATTGCTTGTCATTCATGGAGAACACAATTAATGAGAGAGGAGAAAAATTAAATTTTCTTAACCTGGAAGCACAACAACAAAAGAGTTTTGACAACATGCACACAAGTACGCGCACGCGCGCACACACACACACACAGTGCACCAGGAACTGTCCAGGTGCTCCGCAAATGTTAACTTGTGCTCTAGGTAGGTCCCATTATGACGGGTGAGGCACAAAATGGCTGAGTAACTTGCCCAAGGATGACACCCAGCTAGTGAGTGAAACAATGGGGACCTGAGCTCAGATCCATGGACAACTAACGAAGCTACACGGTGCTATGAGCAGCAGCACAGTGAGTAAGTGTCTCGGCTTTTCCCCTTTGCAGCTATATTGGTTCAGTTACAAAAATGGCACCCTTTTTACATACCCACAGGGCCCTGGGGTCAGACCTAGATGTGAATCCTGGCTCTACTGCAGACAGGCTGGCTTGACTTTTGTTCCTTTGGCTCTGCTGGACTCGGTTTCTTTATCTATAAAATGGAGAGCTATAGTATTCGCTTCTGAGAGTTGGCTGAGGTTATTGTATGAAACATTCAGCCCACGCCTGGTATGAGATGGGTCATGTTACCAGTCTGCTCTGAGGCCAGAGGGCTTTTTAGGGAAGACAGTCAGAAAACACTCTGGATGCAAGATGGTCTTAATATGTTGGGATCTGGAAGGCAGAGAGAAGCCTCTAGATCTCCCAACGGAGGATGATACTTCCTCTAGGAATCCCTGCCATTGCTACATCCCTACCCCTGCACACTCCAGATGGAAGCAGGAACAGCAGAGGCTAGACAGGGTGGAAGAGGAAAGCCCACAAATGGGCTGTGGGTGGAGCCTCCTGTCCAAGTCTGGCCTGGCTGGAAGGGGAGGGGGCTGTGGGGCAGGGCACGTCAGATGCCATCAGCTCCCAGGGGACTGTTAAAGCTGCCAGACCGGCCAGCGTGTCTGCAGAGGTCCCCTGCCTCGTTGGTCACCTCCTGCCACTCACCTGTGCTGCCTGTCCTGGGTACGCGCCCCTGGGGAGCCTGCTGCTTGGTCTTCTGCACCCTCTCATTAAGTCTATTTCTCTCTCCCTCTTCTCTGCTCTTTTTTTTTTTTTTTTATCCCTTTGTCTTTCCCTCTCTACCTCTTTCTGTCTCTCCCATAGTCTTTCTTTTTTCCCCTCCTGTCATCATCTCTCATTCTCTTGTATCTTTCCACCTTCCTATTTCTTTTGTTCCTTTTCTCTGTATCTCTTTTATGGTCTCTCTCACTTTTCCGTTTTTTTTCCTTTCTGCCTCTTTCATTTTCTGCCTCTGGATCTTTCTGTGTCTTGCTCTCAATTCCGAATGCAGCTCAGGGACAAGAGCGCCCTCACTAAGCCTTGGCGTAGGTTGGCCCTGCCCCTCTGAGGGCATTGAAGGAACCCACTTGAATCAGGATGGGGGAAGAGGACATCCAGGGTGGGGAGGACTGGTGTCATTCTCCTGGGCTGGTGGGATGGAGCCCTGGCCTTGAAGTGGTAGCACCATTTCACCGCAGGTCCTGGTCCAGGTTAGCTACTGTCTGGGCATTTCTTCCTGTCACCCAATCCACTTAGTCCACTGGGGAGGGAAGGATGGGGTGCTGAGCCCCTGGGCCAGAGGTGAGTCAGGAGGTCTTTGCCAGGTTCCCAGGGTTAGCACCCTCTGGGGTGGCAATGCTGGGGAGCAAACACTCAGGGTTTGGTGCCCTTATGCCCGCCCCCTCCAGGCAGCCAGCTCTGACTGCCCAAGGCAGACGCGTGCGACCCCTTCAGCCAGCTATGCGCCTGCTACCCAGCACCTTGGGTCTGGCAGGCCTGATCTTCTGGGCAGGCCAGATAGTGACCACCTTGATGCCCAATACCACCCTGGTGCTGGCTTGGTCCAACGGCACAGCTCTGCGTCCCCTTGGGGGTGCGTTGGGGGTGCCCCACCACCAGCGGAAGCGCCACATCTCTGCCCGGGACATGCATGCCTTATTGGATTATCACAACCACATCAGGGCCACCGTGCACCCACCGGCTGCCAACATGGAGTATATGGTGAGTCCCCGTGCCCTCCCCAGTCTCCCTTCCAGCAAATGCCACTTGTCTTAACCTGTCCTGGAAGGGCTAGACCGTTCACCAGCCTGGCCCCCCAAGCCAGTAACTAGGTGTCTGGACCATGTGGAAAGGGAAGGGTTTAGTCTGCCCATTTGAAAAAAGAGGACATGAAGGCAATGGCACAGGTCCCCCGGGGAGTCAGGGGCAGAGGACTGCTATTGATGGAGTGCCTACTGTGCGCCAGGCACTTCACATACCCTGAGGGCACTCTCCCTTCAAGGTGGGAACTGTCTCCTTCATTTTCCAAATAAAGAAATGCAGGTGCAGAGAGTTAACCTGCCCAAGGTCACCCAGTGGGGATTCCAACCCAGGTCTGCCTACTGCTTCAACCAACACAATACCCTGCCCAAGAATTTTGCCCCCCCCACTGGCAACCCACAGTGGGTGGGTGGGGAGAGCTTTCCACACTATTGTCTCTTTGCCCTGGGGGTGGGATGCACATCCCCAGACTGCCCTCAGCAAGCCTGTGGAGGTAGAGTGTGGAACTGTGGGACTGGTATCTGGGCGTCTCCAGCTGAGGAAAACCAGCAGCTGACTACTGGAGGAAGCTGGGACGTCTGCCCTCAAAGGGACAGGGCTGGTGGCTCTTACTGCAGCCTCCCAAAGTGAAGGAGGGAAACTCTCTTTACCACAGCCCCTCCTCTGGGACCATTGTCCCAAAGCAGCCTGAAGACACAGGCTTCCAGCCCACCCATGGGTTTCTTTAGGGAAAGAGATTGCCAGTCCCACCGCCTCCAAGACTTGCAACACACAGCCTGCAAATTTGTTTGCATGTGTCTGTTCACTTACTTACTAGTGCCTGCTTAAAGCCGGGCACTGCTAAGCCTCGGGGACAGTACCCAGACCAGGATGGACGAATGCCCTTCCCTCAGGGAACTTACATTTTAGTGAGGATGATAGAAAACGAACATCAACAAAATACACATAGAATGTATGTCAGATGGTGATAAGGTGTGGGGAGGGTGGGGAGAGAAGCAGGAATGGCAGGCACCTAGAGGTGGGAGAACATTTGTTCATTGACTGACTCATTCATTTGTTAACACAACTGGCACATAGAAGGTCCTCCATCTTCAAACAAATGACACATCTATTGAGCACCAGTCGTGTGTGCAAGGCACTCACTTCAACAGGTGTTTAGCTGTCGCATGCAGTGTAGACCAAGAGAGATCGATGTCTCATTAGGAACCTTGGGGCGGGTCAGTGAGTGTGGTTTTGATGTTAGCATGTCCTCTTCCTCAGCTCACTTCTTTGTAGAATGAAGGAAACATTTCTCTGTTTTCCTAAAATACTATGAATCAGACAACTCAGGGGAGATGCTTGCACCGCTCTTTTGGTGCCTCCATATCTTCTTCACTAGCTGGCTTCTACCCACAGGATAGATAATCCTTGCTCGAGGAGACCTTTCTGTCCCACAGCCCCAAGAAAATTCCAGCCTGGTTCACATTCTCACACCCTCTAGGATTGTAATGATTGTTTCACATCTCATTTCCTTGCTAGACTGTGAGTCCTCAGTGCCTAGAAATACGGCTGTTCAAGCCCGGGCCAGGTGGCTCAGTTGGCTGGAGCATGATCCCATATACCAAAAGATTGCAGGTTCGATCCCCGGTCAGGGCACATAACTAGGGTTCAATCCCCAGTCAGTGCGTGTACAGGAGGCAACCAACCGATATTTCTCTCTCTCTCAAATCAATAAACACATCCTTGGGTGAGGATTAAAAAAGAAAGAAGTACTTACTAATCAATATCTGCTGCAAGAACAAATATCTCAGAGAATCCCAGGAAGTCAGTGCTGGAAGGGAATTAGTATTTTTTAAGCAATGCCTTTTCAGGTTATAAAACTTGGAGCATTCATACGTTGTAAAATTATGAAGCTGTTATGAAGGATGAGACGAGAATTCCCTATGTACAGATGTGGAAAAGCCACCAAGATAACCTATCTCGTTAAGTGACAAGAGCAAAGTGCTGAGTAGAATCTCTAGCACACTGCCAATTTTGTGTGTGTGTGTGTATATATATGTATGTATCTTGTATAATTATTATATATAATTATGCATGCAATCGTATTACATACGCTTGCACAGACCTAGCCTGCTTCTGGAAGAGGACACAGGAAACCCACAGCGATGGTCACCTCCAGGGGGCACGGAGGCTGGAGGGAGAAGCGTAGGGTAGGGACGAGAGACTTCCCACTTTTCCTCCTTTGGACACCTTACATATTAAATTTGTGCATGTTTTCATTACTCAAAAAAAATATCTTTTTAAAAATTCTTGTTTATTCTATTACAGTTGTCCCAAATTTTCCCCCTCTACGCTCCCCTCCCCTACTGTTCCCACACTCCATCTCCACACTGTTGTCCATGTCCATGGGTCATTCACACATTCTTTAAAAAAAAAAAAATTTTTGAATTAAATACTTTTAAAGTTAAAATAAACACATTTTAAAGATAGAATAAGTGAAATAAAATTCAGTTATCTTTCTATCACCCCGGACTCAGCCACTTCTAGGGACAGCTGAGAACTCCTGGACCAATACCCTGGGACCCTGCTTACAACAGGGAGCCCCAGTCTTGAAGTCCAGTTAAGAGAAAAGGGCACCAGACTAGGAGTCAGAGACCGGGGTGTGCATGTCGGCTCCTCTGGGGACTTGCTATTGATCTTGAAGTCACAGGCCTTCTCTGAGCCTCAGTTTCTTAATCTGTCAAGTGGGCTGTTGCAGGGTTCCCAGGGAGGGAGGAGTCATGGCACCAGGTGAATGTGCATGTCTGGACATTGTTAATGATGGTCGTGCTTCCTCAGGGGATTTCATGGCCTTTCTTTCCCTAGATCTGGGACGAGCGGCTGGCCAGGTCTGCCGAGGCCTGGGCCACCCAGTGCATCTGGGCGCACGGGCCCTCACAGCTGATGAGATATGTAGGCCAGAACCTCTCCATCCACACTGGCCGGTAAGTGACCCCCCGCCCTTCCTTCTCTCACTCATTCAACAAGGCTCCCGAGCAGGTTAGTGGCAAAGCGACTTTTCCTCTCCCGCACCCCCCGCCCCCAACATCTTCCATCTTCTCTGCCTCCCCAGGTACCGCTCGGTGGTGGATCTCGTGAAAGCTTGGTCTGAGGAGAAGCGGCACTACTTGTTCCCAGCCCCAAAAGACTGTAACCCGCGCTGCCCCTGGCGCTGCAATGGCCCCGTGTGCTCCCACTATACCCAGGTACCCCCTTTGTTGGGACTGAGGGCTGATGGGAGAACAAATCCAGGCTCTTTAGAAGAAAAAGAACGCGATGGAACAGAAATTACAAATAAAACAGACCCCACCTCCCATAGACTTCCTTTCGCATAATAAACATGTTCCTGGAAAGTTGAGTTGAGATGCACTGGATCTGGTTTTGAGTGTCTTAGGTGGGCTGACCAGACTGACCCCCAGATGGAGATGCATGGTCTGACCAGTTCAAGAGTGCTTTTGAATTCAATCGGTCCAAAGGTATTCTAGTATTTTCTGTTTTCTAAGGCTCCCACTGTCTTAAAAAAAAAAAAATGGCAAAATACGGTAACAAAAATCATTGTTTATTTCAAGTGCTAATATTGAATATGTTAACACTTATCACACATAAAAATACAATGCAATTTAATATTGCAAGAAATAAGACAGACACTTCCAATTGCACAACTATCTTCTTTTGGTCCCCTTAGTCTCTCTGTGACTTGCTGGGAATTAAGATTATAATTCTAAACTTGAGACCCTCTAAGAAATGTAAGGCCTAAGCCAAATGTCCTTCCTGACATCTCATGAGATATTGTTGCCTCCATTTTAGAAACCAAGGCACAGAGTGATTAAGTGACTTGGTCAAAGTCACTCAGCTAGTGATACTGAGATTCTGATCCAAGTCTCTTTAACTCCAGTTTGTAGTTTAACCTCCAACACAACAACGATTTTCAAACAGTGGTCACAGGGAAAAAAGAAAAGGAAAAACCTAATAGAACAGTACAGAAACTATTAGCATATTTCACACATTATAAGGTTAAATGTTCGTTCATAAAATTTTTGTTCAATTTTGTGTGTGTGTGCACAGGATAATGATATAAATTTTCATTCTTTTTTCTTTTTTTAAATATGGAACACTTCACAAATTTGCATATCATCCTTGCACAGGAGCCACGCTAATCTTCCTGTATCATTCCAATTTTAGTATATGTGCTGTCAAAGCGAGCATTAAAATTGACTTCTTACTGTTGGTTGTAGTAAAAAAAAAAGTTTGAGGAATATTCTAGTACAATGTTTCCAGCCTCCCTCACCTCGGAACAGGCAGACCTCACTCAATTCACCCACCCTGAAGCAAGGCCAGGGCCTCCCAGCCCCAAGGAACCTGGGCCCCACTGAAGCCTTCTCAGCCTCCCTTGTCTGTGTCCTTCCTCAGATGGTGTGGGCGTCCTCCAGCCGGCTGGGCTGTGCCATCCACACCTGTGGCAGCATCAGCGTCTGGGGCAGCACTTGGCACCAGGCAGTGTACCTTGTCTGCAACTACGCTATTAAGTAAGTGCAGCATCGGGATAGAGGGGGCTCTGGGCAGGAAGGTGGATCCTGAGGTGGAGTGGGCAGGATTCAAAGGAAAACACACAGGACACCCTGCCTTCCTCCATTCTCATTAACCCCGATGCCGTACATTTTGGTAGTTTTAGAGTCCATTAACGATCCTTTTTCTCTACCCAAATTTCAGAATCGATTGGGAGACAGAGGACCGAGGCAGGTGGACAGGCAGTCTCACTGACGAAGTCAATAGTGGAGAATGTGGCTTAGATCTGCCAGCCAAGTGGGCTTGCAAATATCTCACTGTTGAATTAGACCTGCACACCCATTGACAGGCAACACCGGACAACCACAGGCCTCTTCCTACAAGGGCAGTGCCAGCCCCTCTAAGCGTACCACATGAAGTAGGGCAGCCAAGAACACATGTGCCCGGCAGGCTGGCAGGTCCCAAAGGAAAGGGAGGCTAGAAGGAGCATGTTTAGCTAATCAGACTCTCCAGTGAGCTTGGTGGGAAAGAGATCACGAGTGGTCTTCATACCATGGAGGCACGGAGAAGGGGAAAGGGAAGTTTCTATCCAATGTACAGTATACAGACTTGCAAACATTACAGATTCTCATAGAGACATAAACAAGAACAAATTCTAAATAAACACAATATTTAGAATTTTAGAATTACATATAGCCACCTTTTACTCTCATGCATCCCTTGATCGTTTACAAAATATCAATACTCTCACCTTATTATCTCGTTGAAGAGATGAAAGAGAAAAAAGGAAGCAAAAAACGGAGAGACATTGGGAAGATAATTTCCCTTTTTACAAATTAGTAAATGGAGGATCAGATAGGTTACCAAAAGTCAGAAAGCCAGTAAGTAGCAGAGCTGTGTGAAACACTAGCCTTTTGATTCCAAGTCCCATGTTATATCTGCTATACTATCCTGATGTTCTGGAAGTCATCGGTAACCTGACCATAAATTCTCTAGCTATTTATTTTTTAGGTGACAATGTTGTTTAGGTATCATATTGTAGTCCAGCTTTATTATACAAGGAAAAATACAACAACCAAATTCCAATGCATACGGCTTACAGAACTGTTCCAATTTACTTGCTGATATATCAGATTTTCACAACATTGAGTATTAATAGTATAGTTGTCAAGATTGTTAGACTCTGAGGTCAAGATTGTCAGGGTTTGAATTGTAATTTAATTTAACTTCTCCATGACTGTTTCTTCATCTGCAAAGAATGGATGCATATTCTACTGATTGAATTGTTGAGAGAATTAAGTGGGTTGACCCAGGAAACACCCTAGGTTCATAGGAAATTCAAAATGTATGTTGGTTCTTATTATCATTACCAAACCTAGATTTGGTTCCTAGCTCCGCAATTTGCACAGTGAGGACTTTAGATAAGCCACTTTATCTCTATAGTCTCCTCTTTATATATTTTTTAAAGATTTTATTTATTTATTTTTAGGAAGAGGGTAAGGGAGGGAGAAAGAGAGGGAGAGAAACATCAATGTGTGGTTGCCTCTCGCATGCCCCCTGCTGGGGACCTGGCCCCGACCCAGTCATGTGCCTTGCCTGGGAATTGAACCAGTGACCCTTTGGTTCACTGGCCAGCACTCAATCTACTGAGCCACATCAGCAGGGGCTATAGTCTCCTTTTTATAAATAGAGCCAACAGTACCCGGCTCTCAGAGGATCATAGTACATTGTTGCCCATAGTACATGATAAATAAATGGTGGCCATGATGATGACTAGGTTATAAGCTCTCTGACGGTGGGAAATAGATCTTACTCACTTCTATACCTTTTCACTACAGTGATGTCAAACCTTTGTTTTTTCAAGCAGTAGAACATTTTTCCAAGTAGTTAAACGAAACAAAAAAGAACTACTCTGATTCCATTACCCTTGGTGTCTCCACCACGCTTGCCCTGCCCTCAAATTTCCGAGAGACCTTTAGAAAACTGTATATGCACAAATTTGGCACAAGGCCTGATGCCCAATAGATGCTCTGGAAGTATTGAATGAATGAATGAGTTTCATATGAAACCAGAAGTACATACTTCTCTAAGCCCTTTGGGCAACTTTACTCATAGTCATTCAATAATCACTTTTGAAGAAAAAAAGATTCCATTTCTGCCCACAAAAAGTATTCATTTAAAGTGTGGGAAAATAAGACACTGGGACTTGCAAAGATAATTAACACTATAGGTCAATAGTGAGATTATTAGGTTATTAGGCATCCATAAGCAAGGAAGAGCTGGGGAATGATTTTAGGCTTTGAAAAGAGAAAGGAGAAAAAGAGAAACCTGTGGGTTGGGATGGAGAACAAAGCTGTGGGAAGATGAGGTATGTGAGCTAGTGTTAGATGTGATTCTGTAAGCAGGAGTTGGCAAACTACCGCCTATGGCCAAAATCTGGCCTGCTGCCTGTTTTTGTAAATCAAATTTTATTGAAACACAGTGAAAGCATTCATTTACATATTATCTGTGGCTGTTTTTAAGTGATAGAGATCTCTGGCCTGCAAAGCCTAAAATATTTACTATCTGACCCTTTCAAAAAAAAAAAAAAAAAGCCAGCCCCTGCATAGGCAATGGAAAACCACCGCAAGTTCTTGAACAGGAGAAGGTGGCATTCTGTGTGCCTTTTTTTTTTTTTAAACAGCTTTATTGAGATATAATTCACATATCATATCATTCACCCATTGGAAGTATACAATGTATTACATTAGTAATTTTTTTAAATTGTGGTAAAGATATACTTAACAAAATTTACCATTTTAACCATTTTTAAGTGTACAACTCAGTGGCATTAATTACTTTCACAATATTGTGTGATCATCACCACTATTTCCAAAACCTTTTCATCACCCCAAAGAGAAAGTCTATAACTCTTCAGCAACGGCTCCCTATTCCCTGTGCTGTAATCATTTGAAAAGACTAACTCAGGAGAGGGTAGGATGGAGTTGGGAAAAGGCCGTGAATGGAATAAAGGTACAGCAGTGGCCATGCTGAGGCATCACGGACATGTCCCCCTGTGACTGAATTACACTCATCATCTAATTATTCTCGCCCTCCTTTGCACAGCACTCTTGGGAGTTACAAACTATCTTCAAGTAGTTTTTATGGACACCACTCCATCTATTTATTTCATTCAGAGGATAAAATAAAGGCTCGAGCGATCAGGTGGTTTATTCTGTCACCAGTTGGCAGGTGGCAGAATCCAGGAACAGGCTCAGAACTTAGGTCTGCCTGAATCGGGGTGAGGGGTGGTGGAAAGAATAAGAAAATCAACACTTACTGGGGAGTCACGTATTTGCCAGGCACGGTGCTAGGCGCATGCACACGTGACTCCATTACTTCATCTTCACTGCATCTCTCTGTCGGAGGGAAGTCTTCTCTTGGTTTTACAGATGAAGAAACGGAGGCTTGCAGATGCGACTTGCCCAAGGTCACACAGCCAATCAGCGGTGGTACTGAGATGTGGAAACCTGTGTGAAGGTGTACACGGAACTGTCCTCTGCTCCCTGACCCCATCTCCTTGGGACCATTTTTCTTACAGGGGCAACTGGATTGGCGAGGCACCATACAAGACGGGGAGGCCGTGTTCCTCCTGCCCCCCGAGTTACCAAGGCAGCTGCAGTAGCAACATGTGCTTCTCTGGACTCAAATCCAACCAGCTCCGAAGGTTCTGAATTTTCCCTGGGCTCTGGCGGGCCTCTGGGTGGGCCTAACCCTCTAAGGGTTCCTCCCTAAAGATCAGGTCAAGGAATAATTTCTTTTTTTAGACATGAATTGATTTCCCTCCATCGATCTGAATTTTTTCCCTGATAAATGTCTAGCATGTGCCAGAAGGAAAAGACTTCCTTGCCTTCTTTCTTTCTTCCATTGTATCTCTCTTTTCTCTGGCCTCCAGGAAAGAGGTCAGCATCTTTAATGATTTGGGTCTCAGAGAGCCAGGAGTAGAAGGAACAGTGGCAGCAGTTTTGTGACTCTTAGGCCTCAAACTCACCAGTCTTTGTCCACCCAATAAAAGATATCTATTAAATGACCTTTAGACTGAAACCCGCCTTCATTCATCCAACACCTGTCAACCAGCTTCTGGGTAGCCGTTGAAGATCTGTGGTCCCCTCGAGCTGGGAACATTCAGATCTGAGCTTTTAAAAAATCATTGAAATTAGCTTGTGGACACCCCCTCCTATTTCATATTATTGGATCCACCACACAGTCCAGGACACCACCCCCCTTTCCACAAATGGGTGCATCGAGGCTCGATGAAGGGGTGTCACTTACAGAGAGCTGCTCAGCTTGTCTGCCCAGGTTGGAGCTCAGGCTCTGACGTCGCCTTCAGACGCCTCTCTGCGCACTCAGGAATGAGACCTGAAAGCCCAAGTGGGCCCGAGGGAACGAGGGAATGCTCTCTTTCTGGGCCTGTCGTCATCAGCTTTCAGTCAGTTGGCTTCGGCCTCTCCCTTTCATCTGCTTACCAGCTCTATCCCCACCTCTCTCTCTCTCTTTCTCTCTCTCTCTCTTTCTCTTGTAGAATCTTAATCTCCTTCCCATAAACCATTTCCCCCTCCCCCCCACCCCACCCAGATACTGTCAACACACAGAAGTTCTTTTGTCTCAAGAGATAGTAAAATTTCTCCCTCAGATCTTGCCCTCTAGCTGTGGCTCACACCCTGCCTAGCTGGAGAGAGCTTCAAAGACCCAGATGGAAACAGGCCTCTCTCCCCAGGGTCCCTGTGTTTTCCTGGACAGAGTGAATTGTCTTCTCTTTTGGTCCTGTCATGACGTGTCACATAGGCCACAACCTATAGAGATCACCACCAGCAGCCCTGCCCCCAATAAAGTCCTTTGAGATCAGGTGCTGTAGCTCTTTCTGGTCCCTCCCACTCTCAGCTCTCAGAAGAGTCCAGAGGAGAGAAGAGAGTTAAGCAGGGGGAAACCAGCTCAATAGGAAGACCAGGGAAGGGGGCTAACAGCCCCTCAGCCCCTACTTTGTTCCAGGCACATCAGTTAGATCAGTGCTCATGTGCCTGTGTATATATCATTAACTCCATTTTACAGATGAGAAAAATGAGGCTTAGATTGGAAATGAGTTAAGTGAAACAAGGACACTGTTTTTAGTTCATTATTCTCAGATTATATCCTTCCTATTTACTTTAAGGGGGGGAGATATTAAAATATTCTTTCATTTATAATACAATAGTGATAATATATGTTAGGTTGTAAAGAAAATTATTAATGTCCTTATATTAGGGGTGGGGGAAAGGCTGACCAATCCTATGTCAATTTCCCAAATGTTCTGGAAATTTAAGTGCCATGTAACCCCCTGAATTAAATAGTTATATGTGAGGTCACATAGTTAATAAAGAGCCGACATGGGATTCAGCTTCATCTGACCTACATCTTGTGTTGTTTTGACTTCCCACCTTGTCTTCCTGTGTCCTGAGTACCAAAATAATGAGAATAACAACCACTGGCATTTATGAACTGCTTAGGATGCTCTTAATCTCATTGAATTGTCGCAGCTATCTTAAGTGATAGGTACTGTTCCTATCCCCATCTTACAGACGTAAACACTGAGGCTGAAGAAGCTGGATTTCAATCTACTCTGTAAGACTCAAAAGCCCAGTGTTTCAACCTCTTCACTCTTTTGCCTTTCCACTTAGAAAGGAGAAACTCAGAGACTGCACACAGGCAAAGACAATTAAGCAATCGGTGCCATTGTAGAGTGGGAATTCCAGATGACCTCCTGGGTTGTCCGTTTCTGATACTGCCTTTGAGAAGAGCCCATGCCAAAGGGGAACTGAGCGAGGTGGGCTTGCTTTGGACACGCAGACCTGGGGGTGAAGACTCGGGGTCAAAGGAGTTGCTCTTAGTATTCTTGCTTGTTAAGTTCTTTTTCAACTTTCAAACCTCTGTATTATTTTACACTTTTTGAAGACTTTGATTCCCCAATCTCATTTGATTACTCATTTGTCCATACATTTACCAGCCAAGAGGGTTACCAGCATAGACTCTGGAGCCAGACTGCCCAGATACAAGTTTAACTCAGTGGCTGGGTGTGCTTGGGGTAAGTTACCGTGAGCTCTCAGTCTCACGTGCAAATGGGCACGCAAATGCTATCTGCCCCATGAAGTTGTTCAAACCATTAAATGAATGAATACATGGAAACCATTTAGAATAGTGTCTTGCACATAGTAAGTGCTATGAAATTGTCTGTTTCATAGTGATCATTAATATAGATGAGGGGTGGGTGGGCAAACTATGGCCCACAAGCCAAATCGAGCTCTCTGCCTGTTTTTGTAAATAAAGTTTTATTGGAATACAGCCATGCTCATTTGTTTATGTACATCCTATGGCTGCTTTCAGGTTTCCACAGCAGAGATAAGTAGTTGCAAAAGACTGTATATCTCACAAACCCTAAAATGTTTACTAACTGACCCTTTACAGAAAAGTTTGCTAATCCCTGAAACCTGCAGTGTTCCTATATTCCTGGAGCTTATAATTCTAGAGGGACAGTTAAGCATTAGACAGAAGACGAATACAAGACACTATTATAATGGAAGGAATTGCTACCCGGGAGAACGGGGAATTATAAGAGTGAGTTCTAAACTAGAATGGGTAGTCATAGGGCCTCCCGCAGAGGGATGTTTTTTGATGAAGAAGAGTAGCTGGCCAGGCTCGGAGGCTGTGGTGACAATGTGGGTAGAAAGGCGGGGGAGAGAGTACATGGCAGTAAAAGGGACTAGAGAAGACCTGCTGGGTATTGGGGGATAGGGACTGAGATAATCCTGGGGAGGGAGGCAGGGGCCAAATCATGAATCTTGGGGTTTCACTTGAGGACAATGGGGAGGCACCACGAGATTCTAACCATGGAATGACATGTCAGATTTGCATTTGAAAAGATGATTCTGGCTACACTAATGGGGAAAAGATTTGATGAATGTAAGAGTAGATGCTGGGGTCTGGGGAAATAAAGCCATTTTGGAAACCTAGGTGAGAAATGAAGATGGCTTGAACCAAGATAGTGACATTGGAAACAAAGAGAAGTGGACAAGTTTTTGAGATGTGTGGGAAGTGGCATTCGAGGGGACTTTGTAATGGTTGGGTACAAAAGAAATAGAGTGGGTGGGAGCACCATTTTATCAGGGCCTGGCATATTGGGGGGGTGGTTTAATGGCAAAGAGCAGACATGCAACTAGGGGCCTATTATGTTTGAGATGTCTGTGAAACATGTAAGTGTAGCTCTCTGGGAGGTATTTGGATATATGAATCTGGACTCTAGAGGTAAGTTTAGGTTGAAAATATCCAACTGGGGGTCACAGGTATAAGGTATATGTGTGGCCATGGAAGCCATGGGAATGAATGAGATTATGGAAAGAGTGGTAATAGATGAAGAAAAAGAAAGTGAATCTAGAACTAAGCCCCAAGTTATTCTAGTATTTAAGGATGAAACACAAACTGTCAAGAGATAAGGAAGAAGAAAAAATAGCCAAGGAGAAAAAACCCCAGATGATTATTGGAGAACTGATGCTAAGGGAAGAAGTTATTAAAAGGAAGAAGAGTCAACTGTCCAGTCCGGCTTGGGATCTAGTAAAGTATCCATTGACTGTTTAGGCATGGAATCATTCTAGCTCACCAATGAAGACTGAGTAGTATATGAGGAGGAAGAGGAAGGTAGCGCTATAGGTAAGGGAAAATAGAGAGAACTAATATAAATATCTATTTTAAAAGTTCAGCAGCAAAAGAAGGGGAGAGCAGAGGTAGAGGCTGAGGTAGGGAAGGAAGTTATTGAGGGAATTTTTTAAAGTAAAAGAAATATTATAGCATATTGAAATGTTGATAAGCTTCTGCTTCTAAAAATTTGTCCCACAGATATACTCCCCCCATGTTGGTCAAGACACATGTGTGAAGACAGTCACTGTTTGTGGTGGCAAAAGCCTGGAAACAGCCTAAATGTCCAGCAACAGGACACTAGTAAAATTAATCACTTGTGGGATGTTCACACAATGGAATACTACACAACTACTCTTCAGAATGAGGTAGGTGTGCTAGGATGGAGATGGCCCTTAGGTACTAAGTGGGGAAAACAAGTGGCAGGAGAGTGTGTCTAGTATGTTCCCATGTGTTTATATGTTTACATTTGTGTGTGTGTCTCAGTCAGCTTGAGCTGCCATAACAAAGTACCATAGCCTGAGTGGCTTAACCAATGGAAATTATTTTTTCATGTTCCCAGGGGCTGGAAATCTGAGATCAGGGTGTCAGTATAGTTGGGTGCTGTGAGACCTCTCTTCCTGGCCTACAGACAACTGCCTTCACACAAGTGTCCCCATGTGACAGAGAGAGAGCTCCCTCAAATTTCTTCTTATAAGGACATTAATCCTGTGGGATTGGGACTCCATCCTTGTGACCTCATTTAGTCTTAATTACTTCAATAAAGGCCCTAGCTTCCAGTACAAATTGGGAGGTTAGGACTTCAACATATGAATTTTGGGAGGAGACAATTCCGTTCATGGCATTGCATATGTGTGTGTATATGTATAATGTCTGGCAATATATACAAGAATATATACAAGAACGTATAATAGAGCGAGACGTGGAATAAGATTTATTTTTCATTTTATGCTGTTTGTGTAATTTTCATTTTTAACCTGTGAATGCATTATTTTTTTCATTTCTAAAACTA